AATCATCTATACTTTTAAACAAAGTGTATCAAACATTCATTGAACATAGATTATTTTAGTCATGAAAATTTTTAGATTAATTACGATGTTTTTGAGAAGACATTTTAATAGTTTAAACTTGAGTTTACATTTTAATTTGTTGATTTGAATATCGAATTTTAAACATGGGAACTGAGATTTATGAGATGAAAGATATTATGTTCTTTTATATAATCCTATGAAGAAATGACACATCTAAATTCTTTGTGTACTCATATTGTATCTATATCCAATGTTTTGACAGTTTCGATATGTCAAAATATATATCGAATTTAACTGAATATGAAAAAGAAAAAGAAAAAGAAGAAAAAAAAAGATAATTTTTGTGTGAGTAATGACATTCTTTGTTTTTCTATTCCAGTGATTACCATTAGTTTTTTTTTTTCTTTATGAGTTTAACTGATGATTATAATATATAAAAAAATATTTTTTTCTTGTTGTGTTTTGTTATTTCTGTGTTCTCATTTTTAAAAAATGATCATATCATGTACTTGAATCATATTATATTTGTATTGCGTGCCCGTGTCTGTACTTTATAAATATATTGGAATGTTCACTGAAATGTTAATATATGTACCAAAAGCTACATTCCTTCATATGGTTGTTTCAAGCATCTGTTACTTCAAATCCTAAAATAGGAAGGGCACAGCAAAACATTTAGCTAACTCAAAGAAGCTCTGGCATCTATAAATTAGGTGAAGTGTGATGAATTAAACCAGTTGAAAGAAAGCATTATCGAAATTACAAAAAGAAGAGAAAGAGAAAAAAAAAGAAGAGAAAACCTTTGATGGCACATAGCATTTTTAAGCTAAGAGATTTTTTTTTGGGCAATTAAGCAAAAAGAGATTATGCGCTGAAGATATACGAAGAGTTTTTGCCCCAAAGTGTGTGCTTCCAACCAACATTTTGCAAAAGATTCTTAGCTCTTGGTTGGTTCCAACAGCACAAGCTGAAGGGCAACCCACCCCCCATGTGTTAAAGGTCCCCATATCAGTTTGTTTTGATGCTAAAGTGCTTGTCTTTGCTGTTGTATCTTTCATTCCCTTCTTTGCAATATTATTAAAATTCTTTTTCCTTTCTCTTCCCCATTTAGCCCACATTAGGTAACCTTATGTTGAAAAAGGGCTGCCAAAACCATGTGATCTGGTGGCTGCTCGGCCGCAATGAGAATGAAACTTAGTTCTGGTGGGGCTAACCTTTTTCTCCAACAATCAAACAATAGAAAACAATGCCCAACTGTACGTTGCCTCCTCGTGGGTTTATCGTATCATAATTGTCCTTGCTACCATTGCAGACAATTGACAAGTACCTGACAGTTTAAGTGACCCCAAAACACATCAACTTTGGTAACAAGAAAAAAATTGCAAAAATACTTTTATCATTTATGTTCTTTTTTGCATTTCCCTTATGTAAATAAATGTTTGTTTTTTCTTAACTAGCATCCTTTTAGATTCTATTTCCCATCAGCTTTTCAAAGCATGAAATTCCATGAATGCTGTGTTGACTTCATATATAATCCAATTATTAGCTTCAAAGACTTATAGCAATCCATTTCTCCTGGAATTTTCATTATGGGGTGATCAAATTGCCTATTGTACCTTTCAATTCTGACCCTTTTCCAGTCTCTATTATTATTTTCAGCTAAAGAAAACAGGTTCCATCTTCAACATTGGAAAAGAAATTTCATAGAGAAATTTAGGCTAACAGAGGATTCTCCAAAAGAGTTACATGTCAATCACTTAGAACAGCAGTTTTTCTGATGAAATCTTTGTTAACTTTATAATGAAACGAAATGCCAACAACCATTTGATTTAATTTGTTAGTAGAGTACCAAACTCTTAATTCCAATGGTCGGGATTCATTTCCTGACAGTTTCAAATATAAATAACTATTATAATGAATTGGAAAAAAGGTAGAGATACTTATACCAACAGATATGTAACCAAACGCTATAGAGTATCATATAATATATTACTATCAGATTATCCTTTCTGAAGCATTATTTATACAATAATCTCCATTTGTAGATGAGTTCCAGAACAAAAACTCGGAATTTTTTTTAATACTTTTGGTTTTAGCTTTGGGTGCCTGGCAGCTTGGAAGGCTAGCTTAAGCCTACTTAATTAATTAAAGTATGCTTAATCAAACTGGTTAGTATAGTTACATTGGCAACAAATCAAAATCTCAGCCAAACCATGGTCAATCAACAAATTAAGTATATATAAGATGATTACGTAGCATATTAAATGAGATCCATGGAATGAACTGAATCGCCAATAACAAGAACTCCATTATTTCTGATGGGAAACATCGTCGAAGCAAGCTAGCCAGCTTCTATATATCAAAAGGGGTGCTAGGTTAATGATCATGTAGATCTAAGATTGATCATTTCATATAAAACTAAATGAGATTTTGTATCATAGCTCGTAGTTTCTTGTATATTTATTGTTATCCAAAGATAGCTAGCATGTGTTAGATATGCCCTTCTAAACCAACCAACCTCACATGCTCTACACAAAAGTATGGATATTTACTGCTAAAAATTGAAAATTGACCATTCTAGTCTTGAAACACCAGAGCCTGATTGAATGAAGCAAATTATTTAGCACTATCATTTAAACTCTTGCACAAAAGTGTGGATATGATTCTTTTATTTCATGATCATAAAGTCAGAGAGTATTGATGTGCTGTTTACATCAATTTAAACAAAATAAAATTAAAAGAAATGAGTGAAAATGGATTTTGGTTATGTTTTTCTAATGTTCTAGTCAATTTGCTAGATCATCATTCTGACTTTTGTGTCTTATTGCATGATAATATATACTGTGTTAACTGTTTGATATAAGATTAATGAGTACAATATTGCTAAAACTGCAAAATCCTGACAGCATATTTATAGTCAAGAGTCAAGAATCATAATTAAAAATTGTTAAATCTTTGCCCTTTAGTACAAACATTTGTGGAAAATTTGTCCTAAGAAACATGATATCAACTCCAATAAATTCATGATTATATTCGATAATCAAACATCTCTTGCAACTAAATTAAATTTAAACTTTCAAGGAGATAAATTGATTGCAGGCATGACAAAGCATGTAAAACAAGCCCTTCACGTGAATGTAAGAAAGTCAATGAAAGAATAGATTTATTAAAAAGATTTATATTTGAAAGATTGCCTGTCGATAGATATTATATATTATTATTGAAGACATTTTATGAAAAAATTATTTTTAAATATATTTTTGGGATTAAGTGAATTTGCTTTTTAAAATTTTAAAAGTTTAAAATGAATTCTTTTATGAGATAATTTTGTGCAATTAACTGATAATATATAACATTTATATACTGATAATGTATAAAACATAAACTTTTATTAAAAACTCTCTCTATATGTGTATGGATAAAGTAGTTTGGCAAAAATTAACTCCATTATTGAAATGGACAAAGGAAAAATGGATCGTTGATTGCCCTACTAGTTTGGCCAATATGTCTGGCCATTGGGGGAAGTTAGATGCTCATTGCCACCATGCTTGCAAAGAGTTGAAGGTATAATTATAAAGGATTCTTTCTTTGCATTTGTTATTTACTTATTTTAAACCACTTCTAATCGCTACTCGAACCTTTGTAGGCCATTTTTCATACAATGCAACATAGAATGTCACCTTATTGTGCTCCAGGGAAAGCAGTTATCCCAGCCAAAAATAAAAAATAAAAAATCAAAGATATCATATTAATAAAATTTAGTAAAAATTATAAAGTCATGATTTTCATTTTTTAAATTGAAAACAAATCGACTCTTCCAGTAAGATACATATATATACACATACACATACATATATATGTTTAGGTCATGATTTTTCACTTTTAAGATTTCATCATTCAACAAATTAATAAAAATCAAAATGAAAGCATGTTTTAATATATTATAAAGTCCATGCTTTTTCAATTTTTATTAAATTAGAAAAGGAAGATTCAAATCGTTTTCTTTTCGTCGATCCGGTACATATATATGTTTAGGTCATGATTTTCCACTTTTAAGGGTTCATCATTCATCAAAGCTGGAGAATGAGAGTGCATTTACATTAATCTTTGTTTGGATCCCATAATTAAATTCAATTATTCATGACTTTTCTATATTGCTTTATTCCCTTGGAATTGGAAAGCATAAGTGTCTAGTACTTTTAAGATCATGACAACAAAGTTTTATTTGTTATTGGATATGATAGCATATATAATGATCCTAAGAATCATTAACAAAATTCAGCTAATTATTAATCTAATTAACTTGATGCATGAAAAGACTGATTATCACCTTAATCTTTGCTCCTAATTACATTGTCTTTTTAATTAGAAAATTTTATTTGTCTTTTTTTTTTTTTTTTTGTGTGTATTATTGCACATGGGAACTGGTTATTTGTCTATAAACCCATGTGTGTTTTAGTATTTTAATGCTAATAATCCTAAACTTCTTCTGGATCTATCAAACCAGCTTGCAGCGAACCTGGGAGGAATGCTAAGAATTTGAATATAACTATATAAACACACGTTTAGGAGATTTTTAAATTATACTTTAAATTTTCTTTGTGAAAAACAATTACAGTAATATATGCTAACAAATGAAAATATTGACTGATTAAACTGGATTTATATCATTGTATGGAACCCAATGGACCAAAATTCTGTGTCAAGGATCCCATGGATCAGTCTCATTTAAGAGAGATGATAGAAGTCAGACCTTCAAGCTGTCCATCATAGGTTTTATGGGCCTTCTTAGCGTTTAAGAAGAACATTCATTTATTTTTTGGTGCAAAAAGTTTAGAGGAAATTTATATTAGATTTACATATTGCACTATTAAGAAGGACTACTAGCTAACTTTCATTTATTAAATACATGGATTTCAGCATATATGTTAAAATTATATCACACATGTAAATATAAAATTACTATTGGATAAGAGTGAATTTATTACTGGAACAACCTGCTGCATAATATCTTGATAAAGTACTCCCTCGACCATGAATTTCCTCTTCCTGGAATTTGATCTTTTGGTGTGCAGGCCCCTGAAGTTGATCCAGGCTGCAATGACAAAGAAACACAGCATTTTTATTTGTTAGAGACTGCCTTACTGAGGAGCTATTTTTTTTTAGTTTTGAGCCTAGATTCCAAAACAGCTGAAACTTAACACTCTTAAGAGAAGTGAATTTGATGAAACGAAAAGAAATCTTGGCATAAATTTTGCCAACATTTTTTTTTCTATTCGTTCTTCCAAAAATAGTACGAGGATCAAACTCAGTGACATTTTTCATTTTTGTATAAAGTACATGTATTAATAAAAAAATAAAATATTTTATTATTATTATTATTATTATTATTATTATAGATGTACGGATGTACAGTGCTCACCCCTTAAGACGCCAAGTGGTAGTAGCTGATTCATTCTTTTTTCTTCTTTTACTTTTTTTTTTCAAAATTTCCCCATTTTCCTTTTGTTTTTTTTTACATTTTTTTCAGGTAAATAATACACCTTTTAAAGATGCCACGTGTCAGTTGGTAGTTGGATTTTTTTTGCTTTTTGCTTTTTTCTTTAAAAAATAATTTTTAAAAAAATAATAAAAAATATATATTTGTAAAGATTATATTTTTATATATGAGATTCATTTATATTAAACTTTTTTTTTGTTTTCTTTTTTTACTCTTTTTTAGCTTTTTAAATAAAAATAATTTTTTTTTAAAACACACTTGAATGATGTGGGTCTACCTTTCATCTTTCTTTTACTATCGCATATTATTTTTTGAGCTTTACTTTTTTCCCCTTCTTTTGTTTTTTTTTTAGTTTTATTTTTTTAAAAAAAAAATTATTTAATAAATACTTTTAAAAATTATAAAATTATATAATTTTTTAAAGATTTTTTTATGTTTTAGACTCGCCTTATATCAAACTTTTTTGGTTTTTTTCGGTTTTAACTTTTTTACTAAATCCATTTGAGTATTAAATTTTAAGATTCATATAATAATATGAAATTAATTCTTTTAAAAATAAGCATAATGCAATTTAAATTATTTAACAATTGAATTACATGTATTTAAATTGATTATAATGTCCCTCTTTCTATGATTAATTAAAATTATTATAATGTCATTCTAAATATAATTATTAAAATGCTTCTTTTACCATAATTGATCAAAGTTGGGGAATTCTATTTATAACCTACTTTTAAATACATCTCAAATTCAAAACTCAAATTTTTATTTCTACTTAATATACCCCCAACCTTAGTTTCGATTTTCCATTCTTACAATTTCTCTCTTCTTCTTTCTTCACTTTTTGAAAATCAAGTTTAAGGTGAAATTGAACTTATTGGAAATGAATATTCAAAAAGCTTTAATATCTAAGAATCTTTAAAGCTTCTCGGATATTCATTTTCGAGAAGCCTTAAAGCTTATCGGATATCCATTTCGATAAGCTCAATTTTACTTCTAAAAGTAGATTTCTTACTTTTGTCATAATATATAAATATGTAGACCTATTGTTAGATTTGACTTTAAGGAATTACTACCAATCTTTTTTATTTAGGTGTGACTGACCACCTAACTAAATCTTTCTAATTTTAAAGAGAAGTCTTAAGCTTGATTTAAGTATCTTTAAAAGGTAAATTCTAGTTTATAAAACCAAAACTAGGTTCGGGAGTATAGTTATGTGTGAGGAAGATTATAGCACTCCTACAACGCCCATCCAAATAATGGTACTAATTTGATTTCGTATTTTCTAAAAGCCTTAAAAACCTTACCAAATAATTAAATATTGGAAACTATCCTTAAATTACTCCAATATATTGGTAATAATTTAAGAACATTCTCTCATCTTAAGAGTATTCAAGAAAATTATTTGTCATATCTTGAAGAGGCCCCATCGTTGGATTTATTAATATTTTAATAAAATTTTAGATGATGGTAATCAAATGAGATTCAGAATCTTGGTATGAAAATTTTCTATTTAAATTCTCTAATATATTGGCAAAATTTAGATAGGATTTCTCACCTAAAAATTTACATAGAGATTGTTATTTGCAACGCTCTTAGTAATTTCATCATCGAAAATTCAAAATCTAATTTTACAAAAATACTTTATTTCTAGCAATATCTTCTAATATATTGGAAAGATTTTCTACTAGAGATTATCCTCCAATATGTTGGTAGGATTTTATGAAAATTATTTTTACTTTCTTCAAAATTTAATTTTTATGGAAATTATTTTTTCTTTTTTTTCAATATTTAATTTTTATTTAAAAAATCATAAGGTTTTTTCAATATGTTAGTAAAATCTTATTTTGAAAATCAAATTACCTTCCAATATGTTGGTAAGGCTTTATTGAAAACTTTTTTTCTTTTTCTTAAATTTTTTTTATAAAAAAATTCATAAAGTTCTCCAATATATTGGTAAAACTTTATTTTAAAAATTAAATTGTCTTTTAATATGGTAAGATTTTATTTTATTAAAACAATTTGTTAATTTTTTTTTTTGAAATTTAAACCCTTCAATATATTGATAAGTTTCTTTTTTTTTAATTAAAAAAATATTTACAAAATAATGGATGACAAATAAATGAAGAACAAATAAACAAATAATAAAAAATATTGATGGAAGACAAATAAATAAATAAATATATAAATATATAACAAAAATATACCAGAAAAGAATCGGCTTAAAGACTCAGAGTATATGGCTTAAGGTGTAGAGGAACAGCTTAGGTGAAGTGGCTCAAGGCTAAGCTAATTGGCTTAGCTGACTTAGCAGAAAACCAATTCTAAAGACGCGGGTCGAATGCGCCATGGATCGGATCACCAATTTAAAAACACACCAATCTTTTTTTTTTTAAACACTCTAAAAGGCACTGTATGAACCAAATATAAAATCCCAAAATTTTATTTTTTTTCTTTAGATTTCTTCTCATCCTCTCTTTTTCTTCTTTCCTTTTTTTTTTACCTTTCTTTATAGAACTGATTGAATACTAATTGAATGCCTGTCAGTTTCTGAAAATGCTACGCTAGAAGCTGGGAAGCTTCATTGAAAAGTTACCTAAATTTAGGTATGATGTTAGATACTAGGAATAATCCCTAAGTCTTTCATCGAAAATTGGGAATATGGCTAAAATCTTGCCTGTAATTTCAAAGCCTATTAGAAAATTCAATGAAAAATTCAAAATTTTTCAAAAATTTTTCAAAAAATTTTCAGAAACATGAATTCAATTCTTCTAGGACTCCTTGACCTTCCAATATACTAATTTCTTGACCTTCAGTTTCAAATCTGATAACATCAATTATCTCATTCTTGGCCCAATTTGATTTGCACTAGTTTTTATTTGTTAATCCTTGGCTCTTTGATTTTTCCCTTTAATTATTTTTCCCTTTTTTTTTCTCAAAACACGTAATTAGATAATATAAAAGCTAAAGATGAATTAATAAAAATCAAAGATAAATAAATAAAAATTAGATAAAATAATAATAAATAAATGACTGAATAATCAACATTAGATATATACAAATGGATAAAGATAAAACCTAATAAATAAATAAAAATAAATAAATAAATAAATAAATAAATTATAAAATATAAAAATAAAATGGGTAATTGGGCTTAGACTAATTTAGGTTGATCAATTTGGGCCCAATTGGTTTAGGCTTGATCAGTTTAGGCTTAATTGACTTAGGTCCAATTGGTTTGGGCCTGAACCAAATCGAGTGTCTACATATACCTTTCTTTGCCTATTTTCATGCAATAAGAATTGTGCAAAGATATAGATAACCCATTACATCCGGGTCCAAATTATTCACCCTCATGTTCTTTTTGTTTTTGTTTTGGTTTGTTTGTTTTTTTTTTTTTTTTTTTTTTGCAACAGCTCTTTAAAAATTAAGGCATACAACTTTTAAAATATAAAAGCTCCTACATAATAAAGGCACATGACTTTAAAAATAAAGGCTCCTCTATAACAAAGACATATTACTTTAAAAATAAAGGCTCCCAAAGATTTTAACGATCATGCCCAGAAGTTTTACAGATAGCTCTTAATATTAAAAAATGCTCATTTGAACAAAGGCTCCACAACTTTCAAAATTTGTAAAATCTTTCTTGATCATGACTAATTTTCTTGAAATATCCTTTTTTCAAGGATTAGGATCTTACTTTAGAGGTTTCTTTTCAAATGAGAATATGAAGTTTCTTCATTGGAAAGTTTTCATACTTATCTTTTCCGTATTGGATATTGCAATATCCTTGTGTCCTAGATTCATGCACTGACATTCCTAAATACAATGCATATGATGCAAATGTTAGTGTCTTTTCAATTATGGTACACATGTTCTCGAGTCTTTTTCTTTTTGGTTTTCAAGCTCTTTAAACTTTAAGCAATAAAGCAAAATCGACTTAGTTTTCGATCAATTCTTTCATTCAATGTTATCACCCAAATTTTCCTTTCAAAGAAAACCTTTTTTTCCATTCCCAAATTCAATGTTCTTACCAGGCCTTGAGCATTTCATCTTTGCCTTTCATCACTTTTAACTTTCCTAAAGTAATGTAAATCTTTCATACCATTATTCATTTATTAACCATTATTTCAATTGTAAGATGTAAAATTCAATCACATATTTTTCCTATTGCAATATAGTTAAGGGAAAAGCCAAGGGAAGGATTGGGAATGGGACATAGGCATTAAAAGTGAGACACAAAGAATGAAATGAAATATCTCTTATTTAAAAAGAATGATAGAACCATTTTGCCATTAAATAATATAAAAGGGGAAAAGTTACAAAGATAGGTTATTGGGATAACAATACACAAAATGAACAACTAGATTATCATGATAACACATCTTGAAGTCTTTTCGAAAGCTCAACTAATTGATGCAATTAACATCTCAGAGTTCATCGAAACATGCTAGCCTTCATATTGGTGAATTTTGAAATGATGCTATATTTTCCTAATCTAAATAGCCATTTCAGGTTTTCAACTTAGATGAACTCCCTTTGACTCAAACCACCATTTTGGGTTTTCGACTTGAGTCTTTTTTTTTTATTTCTTTAGGCGTAGTTTTTCTGCACTGCATCAAAATTTATAAGATTTGGCAAATCATCTCCATCCATCTCCGTTAAGATTAATGCTCTACATGAAAATTTGGTAGGATTCTTTTCAAAACTAACTTTTCCTCTTGAAAATGATGAGGTCGGACCTTTTTGTTATAAGCTCTCATCATTCTTTTTTGATATAATTGACCATGGCATATCATTGTCAGTCTCTTTTCCTCAATGGAATTCAACTGCTTATAATGCTTTTAAATCCATTTAGCCTTTTATAATCCTACCACTTTTAGGACTTTCAAGGATAGGATTTTCACTCCACTGGCAATATGGCTTCCATCCCATAAACTAAGAAAAATGGGGTTACCCTAATAGAGGTACGTACTTGTGATGCCTTCAATCCTACATTGAAAGAATTTATAGATATGGTATGATACATATGTAGAGATCTAAATCCAAATCTGTGAGACACATTTTATGAGATAAAACCGTGAGACCTTCAGCTTAAAACAGATAATACCTTGTAGGTTAGGCTCAAGAAAAATGGGGTTGCTTTTAATAGAGGTACATACTTGTGATGCCCTTAATCCCACAATGAAAAAAAGTGTGGATATAATATAATATATATTTAGAGATCTAAATCCAAATCTATAAGGCACCTTTTATGGAACAAAACCGTGAGACCTTCGGATCAGTAAACAATACTCTTTCTAATTGCTTGACAATTGAATGACACACATTCAGTTAGACTATAATGCCCATTTTTCTATAATTAACTAAAATTACTATAATACTACTCTTAACAAAATTATTAAAATACCTCTTTTATCATAATTGTCCAAAGTTACTATAATACTTTTGCAACCATAATTACAAAAATGCCTTCCTAGCATCATTGGATAAAATTACTATAATGTCCTTCCTATCCATATTAAAATTTTTGGTTTTTTTTTCCCTTGAAAAATTAAGTTGAATGGGTGATTATATTAGTAGGTTTTTTTTCCATGGATAAATGGGTTTGAACTAGTTATTATTATATCTAATTTATATTTTATCAAAATAAAAAAATTTATAACCCGAGTTAAGTTGGATAATTCTTCTGGTTATTATTATTTTTTGGAAAAAGAGGGGTTGTTTCAATTTATAAAGATGTAAATAATTGAATTTAAATCTAGAAAATAATTTATGTTAATAAGATTAATAAAGCTATGAACTAGTTATGACATTGTTTGGCAATGTAATTTTGACTTACCACACATGCATGAATATCATCACATCCACATAACAGCTTTCCATTCAAAGTGTCCACAGCTTGGAATGATCCTCCTCCTTCACTCCTCTATGCAAACCAAACAAGTATGTGTAATTAATATTTCATATTTTAATTTCGAATTCATTCAAAATACACATTATCCATAAATTCCATAGAGTTGCTACTTTTACTATTTTTTATTTGCTTTGAAAAACAAATAAAAAGCGAAAAAATAAAACATAATAAACTAATAAATAAATAAAAAAAATAGCAAAAGTATCAACTAAAAGAGCCTAATTTTGTGGTAATGTACCTTGTAATAATCAACAGCAACAAAGTTAGCCCAACGGTTACCAGCAGCAGCATAGCAAGTATGAAGCATGTTTATCAGATCCCCTGAGTTGTCCTTGCATGTCTCTGACTTGCTTGACAATGAATGAAAGTAATTTACCAATACCAAAGATTTACTATTATCATCTAGAGCTGATGATTCTCCCCTGTTAGGACAACTTCCTGCTTCCATTCCACCATCCCCATCTGCCAAATTCACATTCAAGAAATTAATAATTTTAGCAACCATTTACAAGAGATCACAATTAGAGGATAGGAAAAAATGTTGTAAATACTGAGATTTGAATATCAAATTTATTGAATGTTACCTTTTACGAGTGACCGCGTGAATAAATTAACTTAAATTTTGAGTTTTATTTTTTAATATAATATAAATTACTTTTACACGTGACATTCACATTACATGTGTTTTAAATTAAATTAAATGATAACATATATCACATTTTTAGTTTCTTACATTGATTTTCGACCATGTAATTCCACTGGTATGGAATTCCTTCACTTGCTTCCTTGGACTGAATTGAAGTGAATACAAGTAGTCTTTGGTTATTAGCAACCATGTCACTAACCAGAGGCCAGTCTTCACCATTTTTTGGCATGCTTGAAACTGGAAACCAGTATTTCATCAACCCAGAATCAGTAAAGATCTTTGTCAAACCATTTGGACCAACATAATCTTCCAAGATTAATGTAACTATTTCCTCTGGATTTGCTGATAAGAAAGCTTCAATTTCCTTCAAATAGTCTATAGCCGGTCCCTGCTAGGCCAACCAAAAAAACATGTGAAAAGGGCAATATTTATGGAAGATAGGGTTAATTAGTAAGGGAAAATTTTAATTACAAATGCAGTATAGTCATGGCATTTTCCTCCAAATGAATGGCACATCCACACATCTCCGTCAAAATCATATGTATCAAGCATCAATGCCCTGGCTCCATTCTGCAAGTCAATTAGACTTCTTTAATCAGTGGGAAAAAGCTTCAAATTAATAAAGATCATTGAAACTAAGGATTATAGAAACGATTTCAGAAGAATTCAAGAACATACATTGAGCTGATCAGTAATGCTGTCTTCTTGATTTGTGATGGTAACGCGAGGAACTGGGGTATGCAAAGGATATCCATCGATGGCATAAGCATTGTGGGTTGTCAAGAATGCATATTTGTTGAAAGGAAGAGAGTTATTCTATTCAGAGAAAAGAAAACAAAAGAGTTAACATATACATGAATGTAATTGCGGATACATTGTTGTAGCAGATATACTTGGAATATACATCCTTTTGAAAGTGACAGGCCAAATAGGCCAATGCAATGGCTCCATGGCTGTCGTCAAAATTAATAAATGGTTAGAAATTCTGGAGGAGAATGTGATGTGAATCAATTTGGCTCTTACTAACCTGGAAGCTTGCCATAAATGTCTAATATGCTCAGCCGAAAGTGAAAGGTTCATTAAATGAGCTAAAGTAAACAAAGAAAAGAAAGTTATCAGTTCATCACCTACCAGAAGCTTGAATTGATCTGTAATGGTTGATCTTACACATCTGGGACCTGAAAATCCTTGGGGGCAAGAGAAACAATAGAGTCCAGCCTCACAATCACCATCAGAAGAACATTCATCAAGCAGCTGAATATTAAAACTAAGAACAATAAGGAATTCCAAAAATGCAACAAAAATAATTTCTAATTAGAAAGAAAATATTGGGCCAAACCCTGCACTGTCCATCAGAGCAAGCTGAAGCAACACTGAGAAATACAGAAACTGATGTGATCAAAAGCAAGTTTTGATAAAGACTCATAGTTGGAGATTGAAAGGATCGTTACAGAGAAGAGGCAGAGGTGCTATCCTTGTTAAATAAATCATAGAAAAGTGATTTTATTGGGAAAAAATGAGGGTTTTTCCTCAGGTTTTTAGCTCAGAAGACTAAGGGAATTTTCATGATAAGCAAGCATGAAACTTAGACATGGAATATATAGAAAAAGCAAGAAAACAGGAAAGGGTTGGCAATCTACTCAAAGAGAATGATATTAAGAAACGAGTCAAATGGTAAGTGTTAAAAAAGGTCCTGTAGGATTTTAACTTTACCACGCAATACTCATGCTTTCTACATCATTGAATATTGATCACACACGAAGATATATGTCACATTCAGAAGGAGTAGCAGCGTGTGGGCATATGGCCACAAGATTGTGAGGTTGTTGTAAATCAAAATGGAAAGGCAACTAAAAGCATATATAGTTGCTCTGGCGTAGTTTGAAATCGTGAATGTGAAAACCTAGAATTTTAATAAAAATAAAACACGTTATTTGATTATAAGTTAAGAGATGGAAAAGGAGAATCCGAAATTTAATTCAAGTGGTTTATGTGATATCTTTTAAAATGTAACGTTCAGCAGATTTCACTATAAAAAAATAAAGTATTACGGTTTCATCAGTAATACTTAATTTTCCATCGGTAATAATATTATCAAAGAATTTACTGATGAAAAAATTTTGTTGGTGTTAGTCAAATCGGTAATGCTATTTCATCGGTATTACAAAATTTCATCGGTAAATTACCAACAGAAAATTCCAACGATAAAAGTCCACTTTCCATTGATAATATTATTTTAATAATTTTTTTTAAAATTAATTAAAAAATTTTTCAAAAAAAATATGAAGAGAAATAATCTTTCACATTTCAAAAATTACAATTTTTCACTAAAGCAATTGATTGTCTCTTTGTATTTCCTATTTCGTATACCCTCTATGAAACAAGATAGTCAACTACTACCTTAGTACAATCAACTTCCCTCAACTCCCAAAATACTCAAAATTGATAGCATTTGATTTCGGCTATCATAATGTTCAGATTTTAGTGCTTGCCCATTAAACCTAAAAATACGGAGTCATCACAAATCTTTTTTATCTAAGTGTTATTGACCATCTATGTGAATCTATCATTTTTAAGGTTATCTAAGTTATACTAAGGGTCTCTAAAAAGAATACATTCTGATCTACATTAACAGAATTAGGTTCAGAAGTCAGTTACATATAAAAATATTTTAACACCTCCAGACACTTAAAATTGGTGCCTAGTTAGTGTTATTTTATCTTGTCTAAGCCTTAATCAAAAATAGTTTTTATTAATTTTGATATTTAAATAGTAGAAAAAAGTCCTTAGACTTTCACCAAAAAAAAAAAAGTTTCTTGCCTCAAAAGTATTCAAAATAAACTCGTAATTCACTTAAAGAGACTCTGTTGTCGGATTTATTAAATATCTTATGAAAATCAAATTTTAATTCTTTTTTACTTATTTACAAAATAATAATCATACAAAAATACTACATAAAACAATTATACACACAAATTTACAATTTTTCCAAAATTTTCAAAACCAAAAATTTTCTTTTTATTTTTTAAATCAAATAATATAGTAATGCTCGTAAATGCATAAATGTTGAATTTAAAACTCAAAACTTGTGAATCGGGTCAAGGAAAGGAAGCATGGGTCTCTGGTTAAAAGCAAGGCCACACACAGGTCACCATATAATGTATGTGATTGCACTAAAATTTTAACATTTTTTTACCTTTTTTTAGTGTAATTTCTTTTGAATTCTAGCTTGTTCTGTGAGAAATTGTGCAAAAATACTCAAAAATGCATAAATGTTTAACGTGTAGGTAAAAATATGAAAAATGAGAAATTTTGAAGTTTTTGGACTCATGTTGGAGGATTTTTTATGCTAAAAGCGAGAAAAAGCCAAAACTAATATGCTTATGTTCTATTGCCACTTATGGGAGTTTTTCTCAACCTTTTCTTCTATGATTTCTTTAGTTCAATTAAACTTTATTTCAGGTCTTAATTCTCATATTTTTCATTTGGAAATATCTTTCTTAGCTCATTAAAGCATCATTACCCTTTGTAGTATTTTTACAAATGCTTAAAAAGTAATAGGGGCATTAGTGTAGTTAGAAGCTATTTTTGGACTTGTAATTTTCCAAAATTTTTTTAGGGTTTATAACACATAAATTGTCCACTTAATGGTTTGTATTTTGGTAGCAAAATGAAGGGAGAAGTGGTTACAATTGGCTCTAAAATAAGGGAGCAAAGTTCAACCATAATCATTGGATGCTTTGGCCATATGATCAAAAAAGTGTAGCACCAATTTGAAAATTCAAAGAAGGACTAATTGGAGTTGCTGAGCTGGCCATTTTAAGGCTTCCTATTGGACATAATGTTGACTTCTTGGAGCATGTTAGATCATGGGAAGAAGGCTTGTAGTAAAAGGAAGCTAGATGAAGCAAATAAGCAAGCAAAATATTCAAAGAAGTTAAGATAAAAGGATGGCAATTAGTTGGAATTTTTTACTGTATTTTTAAGGGTTGAAGCATCTCCCATTTGTCTATAAATAGGGGAGAGTGGCTGGTGATAAGGGACTTTTAGCTTAGTTTTATACATTTTCCTTTTCCTTGTATTTTACTTTCTTTCTCTCCAAACAGTTTTCTCCTTGCTAATTTAGATGGTTGTTTGGAAGATAATTGCCTTTATTTTCTCATAAAATTTACTTTTCTTGCTTTAATTTTCAATGAACTTTATGATTTTTTCAATAAAAGTTCAAGATATTTAAGCTTTTGTGTTCAATTTCAATTTATTTCAAGTGTTATTCAAATTTGCTTGGTGATTTATGGTTTTGACCTCTTTGTGGTTTCTAGATCAATTCTTGCTTAAATCTTGCTTGTTTTGAGTCAAAATTTTTTTCTTAGATTTGTGGCTCATTGATCTTTAAATCTAGAGAAAATATCTTTCAAATTCTATCTACACAATTCCAGATCTAATTCAAAGTTGCTATCGTAACGGTTTTGTGTCCACCCGACGAATTTGGAAACCAAATAAAAAAATAACGGAGTCGCCACCAATCTTTTTTGGCTAGGTGCGATTGGCTACCTATTAAAACATATCATTTTAATGAAATCTTAAAATTAATTAAAATTTATTAAAAAGATATTTTTAGGGTCTGCGCAACAGTCTGGATTCGGGAGTCGGTTACGTGTAGGGAAATATTAGCACCCCCACAGCACCCGTTAAAAATGATACCAATTAACAACATGTTATCCTTTGATTCTGATACAAACAGTCTTATTTTCAGTATTCGAAAAATAATTTCCTTGATTTTTTATTTATTAAAAAATTATTCTCGAGAAAAATAAATCAAAACCTTTTTATTGAAATAATTCTTAAAATGTTTCAGTACATTGGTAATATTAAAAGAACTCTTTCTCACCTAGAGATTTCTTAAAGCATCTCTACTCGGAATACTTTTAGAATCTCATCTTTGGAGGCTCGAATTTATTTTTCGTAAGAAAATGTCATGTTAAAAAAAATATTCTCGAGAAAAATAAATTAAAACCTTTTTATTGAAATAATTCTTAAAATGTTTCAGTACGTTGGTAACGTTAGAAGAACTTTTTTTCACCTAAAGATTTCTTAGGCATCGCTTCTCGGAATACCTTAGAATCCCATCCTCGGAGGCTCAAATTTATTTTTCGTAAGAAATTATGTCATGCATGCCATGCAAAATATTTTCATGTTTATGCACACATTTTATTCTCACTCAAAAATTTTATTAATTATTTTATTAATTATTTTATTTTTAATTGAAATTTTGAAGAAAAAAAGAATTTAATCATATTGAAGATTTTCTATAAATATTTCAATACGCTGGGTAATATTTTATAAAAAATCTTCTCACCTAGAGATTTCTTAAAGCATCTCTACTCGGAATACTTTTAGACTCCCATCATTGGATTAAATTTCTTTTCTTCCTATTTTTATTACTTATTTAATTTATTAATCAATTTTTATTTATTATTAAAAACGAAAATTTTTACTGTATTGAAAATTTTTTATAAATACTCCAATACGCTGGTAGTATTTTAAAAAAATCTTCTCACCAAGAGATTTCGTAGGTATCACTACTCGAAATACCTTTGAATCTCATCGTCGGATAAAAATTTTCTTTTCTTTCATTTTTTATTACTTTAGTATTATTATTAAATTTATTTTTATATTATAAAAAAAATTTAATCACAATTTCATCATTTAATCTAACAAATATAAATATTTTAACATGCATAAATATTAATAAAAAAATATATAAAAAAAAATTAAAAAAAAAATTTTTTTTACCTGAACCGAACTGGTCAACGGTCTGGTCAACGCCCGGTCTGGGCAATTCAGTACCGGTTCGGTTTGGTCTGAACGGTTCAGTATTGGTGCGGTTCGATCTGGTCGGTTCGGTTTCGATCCAGTCAGACCGGTTAGAGGCTGATGAAGGAAACGGGTCGCGGTCGGGTCGCTTGGTTGACGCGCGGATCCTCCTTGGCTGAAACGGCGTCGTTTTGGGCCTATGCCCAAAACGACGTCGTTTTGCTTTTAATTTTTTCTATAAATGACTTGAAAATTTTTTTTCTTGTTCATTTGGTCCTGTTTTCAGAAAAAAAAATGAGAGAGAGAGAGAGGGCTCTGGGGGAGGGGTTCGGCCGGTCGCCGTCCGATCGCCGTCGGGTCCACCGTCGGCGATGGTCGTCAGTGATTGGAAAATGGTCAGAAGATCACCGAAGACTCCTTTAGACGCCTTTTTTCCATATCCGATCTCCTTTTCACTGGAAACAGCCCCGATCAACGTAAATCGGGGCTCAAAGTTTCTGTTTTTAAATTTTTTTTTTGTTTTGTTGAAACAAGATTGATGTAATTTTTTTTTCTTTTGGCAGGTAGCTTCGGCGCTGGGTTCTTCCCTGCAGGGAGGACTGTGTTTATTTTTTTGGTGTTTCTGTTGAATTGTTTTTGCATTTCTGTTTGTTTTTTTTTTTCGGTTGTATGGCTTCTGTTTGGGTATTTTGGGTGTTTGGGTTTGTGGGAGGCTCGTTTGGTGAGG